CAAGTAAGCTTATATGGCACATGATTAAGTTCCGCTATTTCATATTTCTGAATTATGCTTTCTGTTAATTCCAGCGCATTATATTCATGCAGCAGCAGTAGGAAGCATTGGTTTTTACGTCCATCCTCTTGGAAAAGCAACGCAACGTCAGAAACATTTAGCTGGAGTCATCTTCTATCATTTGAGAATGTGATGCTCTAGTTTAAGGAATCAAGTCTATGTCTAAGAAATCTGGACGGTTTATTTGTGATATACAAAACATATCTATATATGTCTATTCAAGTCCAGTATTTGATCCGGCTTTCCCCTATCCTTACGTTGAAAATTTCCAACATATATGGCTTGTCCTAAGCACAAAATCCTGAGCCAGGGGATACCAGGTAGTGAATTATCATGGTAGTAGCACAGTTTGCTTTTACAGTCTGTTCAGGAGTCCATGGATTTATCTGAAGTTTAGTCCGATATCTTAGCTGTAGTGGGTGTAGTCGGGGGAGTCACAGTGTGTCCAAACCCTTGGTAATGCCCCATGGGTGAAGGCGGCATGGAAGAGGCAATGGAGACCGCATCTTGTGATGAGGATGACAGCAAACTTGTATGTTCATTTTGCTCTTGTTCCTCGGGGAAAAATTTTTTCCTATGATGTCCTCTGACTGTCCGTCCTTTAAAGCAACATAAAGGTTTCCATGTTAGGTAAAAGTTATTATGACCATTAAAAACTTAACATGCTAGAAATAATCTTTTAAAATTTGTACTAGCTCATTTTTTAATTCGTGAGAAGGCACATGCACTCATCAGACACACACACACACAGAGGGAAAGTGAGAAAGCATGCCCCTAAGGGACTGGCTACACCACAATCCCTTCTTCTGTCTCCTCTTGGGATTTTTGGATATGCACCCCCTACACATGCTTGGTGTGTTGGTCAGCCACGAGGTTTGAGACCTGAACCATGCAGCTGGCCATGTGTGATCCAACCACCCTAACCGCCAGGCTGCCGGCTGCCCTCCCACCCCTTCTTATTAATTTGTCAGTAGGTGCACATCCTTGCCAGGAAGAGAAAGGGGTGGGAGAGATGAAAGAAGAAAGTACCATTTACCAGGCATGGTCATGCCACAATCCCTCTCACTCCTTTACAGGTTTGGGGGCATGCATGCATACATACCCAGCATAGTTCAGACCCAGCAGCCGGGTCTGAATGGAAACTCAGACCATGCTGTTAGCCACGTGGAATCCAGCACCCTAATCACCAGGCTACAGGTTGGCTCGCAGTTGGTTGAGTTTTTACAGGCTTTCGAGAAACAGGGAGATTCCTACAAGGATCTTTATCATAACTTATCACATGATCATATGCTATGTGCTCTTTGTAAGCTAGCCTCGAAGAAAATGTGTCTTTGTTTCACACTTCCTATTTACCTCTTGTACTCCCCAGCTTTACTTCTTACGTTTTGGTAAATTTTGTGTATATTCAAGGTACACAACATGGTTATTTAGAAGATGGCTACACATAATAAAAATGTTACTATAGTAAAACAATTTAACAGATCAATGATACAGAGTTACAGAGGTTTTTATTTTTTGTTGTTGATAGTTAAAATCTCATTTAGCAAAATGAGTAGAATTTCACTCTAGAAAATTAGGATTTTAGTACCTACTGTACTAAAAAGTAGAATTTTAGTACCTACCAGTACTACCTACTAGTACTTACTAGTACTGTAGAATTTTAGTACCTACCAGTACTACCTACTAGCACTTAACTAGTACCGTAGAATTTTAGTACCTACCAGTACTACCTACTAGTACTTACTAGTACTGTAGAATTTTAGTACCTACCAGTACTACCTACTAGCACTTAACTAGTACCGTAGAATTTTAGTACCTACCAGTACTACCTACTAGTACTTACTTAGTACCGTAGAATTTTAGTACCTGCTAGTTCTACCTACTAGTACTTACTGGTATGGTAGAATTTTAGTACCTACTGTCCTCATATTGTATAGTAGCTCTTATGTGCTAGTTTATCCTACATATGTGCTACTCTGTATCCTTTTGCCTGCATCTCCCCACATTCTCTCTAGTGTCACCCCTCCCAATAACCACTGTTTTATTCTGTGGGTGTATCTGAATCTTTGTATTTTAAGATTCCCACATATTTCTGAGGTATGCAGTACTTTCTTTCTGTGTCTGCCACATTTGACTTTGCATAATGTCCCTCTAGGGTCATCCACTGTGGCAATCGGCAAGATCTCATTCCTTTTTTAGGGCTGAATAATACTCCATTGTATATATACCTAGTTCTTTATCATTTATCTGTCACCACACACTTAGGTTGTTTCCTAGTTTGGCTATTTGAATAAAGATGCAATAAAGAGAAAAGTGTAGGGGCCGGCAGGTGACGTAGTAGTTAGGGAAGTGGCTTAAAATTCATGCAGGGCACATGTGCATGCATGCCCAAATCCTGAGAGGAGAATGGAGAAGGGACTACAGGGTGGCCATCCCCACCCCCACCACCCCCGGGGGGTGATTTGTCACTTTCTGTCTCTTTGGTGAGCACACGTGCCCCATAGCAAAAATCTCTCCTTCCGGAAAAAAAAAAAAAAAAGAAATACAGTTTGCATATATTGTCTTTGTAACTTATAGGCTGTCATTTCAGTTTGTTGATAGTTTCCTTTGCTGTACAGAAGTTTTTGTTTACTGTAGTTCCACTTATTTACTTTTCTTTTGTGGCCTGAGCTTTTGGTGTAGCATCTGAAAAGTCATTGCCAACGTAGATGTCCAGAGACTTTTCCTCCTAGTTTTCTTCCAGGAGTTTTATAATTTCTAGTCTTACTTGGATCTCTTATTCTCTTTGAGTTGATTCTTGTGTGTGGTGAAAGGACACAGTTTTATTTTATTGCATGTGCATTTTTCTCACCATCATTTATTAAAGCGTCTCTTTTCCTCACTGTATCCTCAGTGCCTTCATCAAAAATGAATTGACTGTGTAAGTTTGGACTGACTTCTAGGCTTTCTATTCTGTTCCACTGGTCTTTGTTTCTATGCCAGCACCATACCATTTTGATTACTGTAGCTTTGTAACATGGTTTTAAGTCAGGACGTGTCATGCCTCCATATTTTTCTTTCTTATGACTGTTTTGGCTATTCAGGGGCTTTTATGTTGTCATTCAAACTTTTGGGTTGTTTTTACTATTTCTGTGAAGAATTCCCTTGGGATTTTGGGAGAGATTATATTGAATCTGTATATTGTATTGTTGTTACGGACATTTACAAAATATTAGTTCATCCAAACTATGAGCACAGGATATCTATTTATCAATGTCTTGAATTTCTTCCATCAGTATTTTATAGTTTGCAGGTACAGGTCTTTCATTTTTGTATCCTGCAACTTTACAGAATTCATTGACTCATTCTATGTGTTTTTTTCTTTTCCTTGTTTTTTTTTGACTGTGGGGATTTTTTTTTCTTTAATCTGTCTGCTACTATAAATTAAACATTTCTGTGGAAAATAATAATGGGCTCTTTGTACCTTAGTTATTGTGACATAGTGGAGCATGCTCCTTTACTTACATTAAAGTTATACCCTGTGAGATCTACCCTAAGGAGACAACACTGTCAGATATTTAATTGATTTTAATACACCTAGCCTTCTGAACATCATAGCTTGGCCTGGTTTACCTCCAAATGTGCTCCAGACACTTATGTTAGCTTAGGGGTGGGCACATTCTTTTAACAGGAAGCCTATTTTATAATGGCATTATAATAAGAAAAAATGAATCAAAATCAAGAATGAATATGGATCACTCTTGGACTAATATAAAGGTGAAAATCAGTCAAAGCATAGTAAGTTGGGGACAGTGTGTGCACACATACATGTTTAATGCACAGGTTTTGAGAAAACAATACTCATCTTTGCTACTTGCAGCAGTACGCCGTGGGACTCTGTTTTATTTTCATTACCAACTGTTAAACACGACTCAGTGCCTTGTGATCAGCAATTAGTGCAACCCCATTCTAAGTAATACATTTTTCCCACATAGCACCTACATGTCTTCTGATTATGGTTTAATGAATAATTAAGACCATTTGGCCAAGATTTACATTTGCTGCCACATTAATAGCGTAGAGGGAAAGTGGCTTTTTTTTTGACTGACTTCTTTTTTGCTGTGCCTCTAATCAATAAAACACTAAGGGCTTATTATTGAAGAATGAGAGACATTAAAAATTGCAGGATGTAAATGATAAACTTGTATTTATTGAAAGACACGGCATTGAGAAATAGGGAAGGAAATGTTAGGTAAGTTTATATGGCACTTGATTAAGTTCCACTATTTCATATTTCTGAATTATGCTTTCTGTTAACCCCAGAGCATTACATTCATGCAGCAGCTGTAGGAAGCATTGATTTTTATGTCTGTCCTCTGGGAAAAGCATGCAACGTCAGAAACATTTAGCTGGAGTCATCTTCTACCATTTGAGTAGGTGATGCTCTAGTGTTAAGAAATGAAGTCTGTGGGGACCAGCAGATGGCAGAATGGCTATGTCGCTGGACTCCCACATGGCCGACCGTGGTTTGACTCCCGGACCAACTTCAAACTCATACCAGGAGCGTGTGCATGCTTGCCCAAAATCCCAAGAGGATAATGGAGGAGAAGGGGTTATAGTGTGGTCACCGCCCGCCGGGAATTATTTCCTCCCTTTTGTCTTTCTATCTCTGTCTCTCTGGCAAGCACACGCATGACCCTATAGCAAAATCTCTCTCTCAAAAAAAAAAAAAAAGTCTATGTCTAAGAAATCTAGACAGTTTATGATTTACTAAATGAGTCTGTGTATATATGATCTATGTCTAGTAGTTATTCCTGGTTTTCCCCTATCTTTTTGTTGAAATTTCGTATCACTTGTGGGATGCCCTAAGCACAAATTCCTGAGCCAGTGGATACTAGGTAGTTAACAGTAGCAGCACAGTTTGCTTTTACATAAAACCCTGTTTAGGAGACCATGGTTTCATCTGAAATTAATCAGATATTTTAGCTGTATAGTTAGTTTGTCCGAAGCCTTGGCAATGGCCCAGGGAGAAGGTGTTATAGAGGAGACAGCATAATGGCACCAAACTTGTATGTTGCTTCTGTTCTTCAGTTAAATTATCTTTCTAAGATTTCCTCTGACCATCCATTGAAGTAGCCTACATGTTCCAAAGTTAGCTAAAAGTTCTGTTATTTTTGCCATTATAAAATTCCCAATTTAAAAACAAGCTCCATACGTCCTTCTCTCTCATCTTTCTAAATTTGAAGAACCTCTACCTTGGTATAGATTTAAACATCTTTTCATCTCTTCAATAAATACTAAGTTGTCTTATTAGAAGAAATCCAGCCTGCTATTAGAATGGATCAAATAGGTGGTACCGGGCCAGCCTGTGATGGGGTAGTTACGGTGGCTGGGTCACACGTGGCCGATGACATGCTTTTATTCCTGGACTCGGCAGCTTGAAAAACACTTGTGAATGCGTGCCCTAAATCCCGAAAGGAGGGAGAGATGGAGGAGAGGGGATCGCGGCGTGACCATGCCCTATCAGGAGTGCTTTCTCATTTTTCTCTCGCTCGCGCTCTCTGGTGAGTGCATGCACCTTCTGGCCGATTGAGATGTAGGAATAAACTGCCGGTACTTACCAACATGCCTTACTTGCTCAGAAATGTCATCTCTGATATCTGAAACATCCCACATGGCAAGAAAAGAATCAAAGCATGAGCCTTCTTCTGCTTCTTGGACATACGGTTTATAGGAGAAAGTGTAGTGATGAGCAATAGCAGCCAGGAACATCTCAATACAGATAATGAAATCCTGTAATGTCAACAGCAACAAAGGGCTCAGTATCTCCAGATTTAAACCTACTTTTCTAAAGTGCTTTTTCTAAGTACATTTCAAAGTACCTAAGTAGCAACAGCAATTTCTTTTTCTTTTCAGATCCATTTTTCCATTAAAAAAAATAATAATAATTATATATGATCTTTCCAAAAAATGCCCAAGTGCCAACTTTTAAATCTATTTTGGGGCCAGTCTGTGGCCTGGTGGTTAAGTGAGCTGGTTTGAATCCCAGACCTGGTGACTTGAAAAAAATAGCAGGTGCACATGCAGAAAATCTCTACAGGAAGGAGAGAGGGAGGACATAGGGCATGACCATGCCCCATGGAAGTCCTGTCTCGATTTCCCTTTCTCTGTCTATCTCAAATAAGAGCATGTGCCCTCTGGCAAATTAGAAAAAAAAAGTGAAGTTTAGTTTGTACTACACCCTCAGTCAGACATTTCTTAGCACAGTATACTGCACTGTCAATGTGCTACTCAAGGACTCAGAGGAAAAATACAAAAAGAGAAAATGAACTAGGAATGACAAAATTCAGATTTTATTCCTGCTTCTGCTACAAAGCAGTAACTGTGGCCAATATCCCTTAGGATTTCTCAGTAATAGTAGTCTCATAGCCTGAATGTTGTTGAATTTAGTGGAGATGTATGTAAAAACGCTTCTACTGGGGCTGGCAGGTGGTGTGGTGGTTAAGAGTGCTGGACTCCCACATGGCTGACTGTAGTCTGAGTCCTAGACCTGGCAGCTTGCTTTCTCACTTTCCTTTTCTCTTTTACTTTGTCCCTCCCTGGTCAAATTTAAATAAATAAATAAAAATTTAAATAAAATAATTCTTAAAAAAAAAATGCTTCCACTGAGTTCATCGTTGGCAAAACTTACCTGGAGTCCTGTAGCCACTGCTTCTACAGTTTGCCACTCCCATGTGTGATTTTCTGAGATGACTCCAACTTTAACCAGCAAAGCAATCACTACTGCTTGCCTGTATGTTAGGAAAAGGCAAAGGACAAATCGGTATCAAGCATAAAACGAACAGTTGTTTTAAAAACATGCTATTTAAAGAAGTTAAACCCTAGTGCAACCCTGAGGACCCTACCACTCTGCCTTCATAGAAGAAACTGTATTTCATGTATCTATTTGTTTTGCAAATTTATCCTTTTAATAATCTTTTGTCAGATGAATTTGATGATGTATTCTTAGAACTTCAGTACTTGGTTTATATATCTTTAGTTTTTGTTTGAAAGTATATACAAGTAATTAAAATTTTAAGTTCTATAGAAACAGTATCTAATACTTTGTGTAGTAGGCAGTTACATGAAATAAAGGACAGATACTTGAATATTATGTATATGTGTATTAATTAAGTAATCAGATTATTTTTTAAAATAGTCATTCAAAACCAATCTTATTAAAAATATTGGAGCCAGGAGACAAGCCCAGAAGGTGTCTGGCTCCAGGACAGGGAGTTATACTGAGCGTTTCAGTTCAATCTAGGGATATGGCCCCAGGTTAAATTTAAACAGCAAATAATGAGAGAGCTTTTCATAGTTTTCTATATAGGAATATTCAGTTTAATCTTGCGGTGACAGAAAAAATTAGGAATATTGTAAATATCACCAGGAGGTTAGTTAAAATGTTATATCCTCACAATAGAGTAGTAAGGAAACCCCCCCCCAAAAAACCGAAAGCCCAAAACAACACCAAAATTTTATTTCATTTTACTGAATAGAACTGTCCACAACAGATTGAACATATTGTTGAGTTTTATGCATTTTCATAGCATAAAACCAGTTTTGTGGCATTTTATGTATGACTTATGCAACAAAGTGTTGATCATTCTTTCTGGGTAGTAGGATCTCAGGAATTTTTCTTGTTCTTTTCCTTTGTTGTATTATTTCTATCTTGTTACATTGAGTGTATTTGTTTCTTGCACCCCTATTCCTCATGCTTCTACCAAACTTGTTTCTAAACTTGTTTCCCTTTATTATTAAACTGCTTTCTGTTTAAAAAATTAATTACTAGGACCAGCAGTTAGCGTAATGGCTATGTCGCTGGACTCCCATGTGACTGACCGCGGTTTGAGTCTCGGACCTGGTGACTTAAATTCACGCCAGGCGCATGTGCATGTGTGCCCAAGATCCCATGCGGAGAATGGAGGAGGAAGTAGTGCA